AGTCAACACTCTTTAACACTGGTCCGGGACGCGCATGCGCGATTACGTCACAGTCAACACGCTTTAACACTGGTCGGGGACGCGCATGCGCGATGACGTCACAATCAACACGCTTTAACACTGGTCCGGGACGCGCATGCGCGATGACGTTACAATCAACACGCTTTAACACTGGTCTGGGACGCGCATGCGCGATGACGTCCCATGTGACATTTCCCCAGGTGGCGGCGGCGTAGATTGGTAATACCATTGATTTTATCAAGGTAATATCTGCTCTGGCATTCATTATCGGTCGGCGTGACTTAACAATGGTCTAATTAACATACACGAGATAATTCTAACATCGAGAGCAGTTTCAAAGGACTTTGAAACAGGATCATATCTAGTTTTAAGACTATGAATAGTGTTTGCTTCCACAACCTGTTCCTTTAGTTCATTCCATGTTCCTCAACTACTCTCACGCTAAAGGAATACTTTTTAGCATCTCTGTGACTCATCTGTGTATCCAGCTTCCACTCATGTCCCCTCGTTCTGTTGGCATTCCGTGTGAACATTTCGTCTATTTCCACTCTGTCAATTCCACTGAGTATTTTATATGTCTCTATCATATCTCCCTGCTTCCTCATTTTTTCTAACGTCATCAAGTTCAGTTCCTTAAGTCGCTCTTTATATCCCATCCCTCGCAATTCTGGAACGAGCCTCGTCGCAAATTTCTGAAATTGCTACAGATGTTTTCCAACTTTTTGGTAAGTTGCCCTTTCCAGTGACTTTATGTATCACAGTAAACTTCAGGATCCCCTTCTTGGTATACATGACAAGTCTAAGGTACGAGTCTTAAGTCTGAGTGACACAAGTCTTAAAGGTACGAGTCTTAAGTCTAGGTGACACAAGTCTTAAAAGTACGAGTCTATCTCACATATAATTCCAAGAGGGACTTGATGACTTCAATGCCTCTTGGATTCACTCCATTCCTCTTGCTCTAATATGAAGACCTCCTGGAATCTTCTATTAAGTTCACAATACACTTTCCTGTCAATTTCTATCAATGTATCCTCCACTTTCCTCAGTTTTATCAACTATTTATTGCCTTTCCTTTCCTCCTGATGCAGCTGTACGGCCGCTTGGCGCGGATCACTGTCGTCCTCAAATTGTCTCTCTGCTTCTCTTCTCATTCGTAGATATTATTTTCTAGTCTTCTTTTACCGCTTACTTCTCTGTCTTGCTCCTGTAATTTGCGCATGTTCGCGGGAGCACCAACACCCTCTTGTTACACCCACAGTGATACACCCAGACAACACTACACCCAAACATACACCCAGACAACACTACACCCAAACATACACCCAGACAACGCTACACCCAAACATACACCCAGACAACACTACACCCAAACATACACCCAGACAACGCTACACCCAAACATACACCCAGACAACGCTACACCCAAACATACACCCAGACAACGCTACACCCAAACATACACCCAGACAACGCTACACCCAAACATACACCCAGACAACGCTACACCCAAACATACACCCAGACAACGCTACACCCAGACAACGCTACACCCAAACATACACCCAGACAACACTACACCCAAACATACACCCAGACAACGCTACACCCAAACATACACCCAGACAACGCTACACCCAAACATACACCCAGACAACGCTACACCCAAACATACAACCAGACAACGCTACACCCAAACATACACCCAGACAACGCTACACCCAAACACACCCAGACAACACTACACCCAAACATACACCCACACAACACTACACCCAAACATACACCCAGACAAGACCGTTACTACTTCACTTTTGGCGGGAAAATTCCCCTCCGGCCTGGGCGGAATATCAACAAAGCTTTTGGCGGGAGATTTATCACCGTCTTTGGGAAATATTTTCATCGCCTCTAATGGGAAATTTATCGCCAAGTTGCGGAAGTATATATATATACTTTCCTCGTATATTCTGACTTCTTACCCGGGTGCCACTGTTGGATAATTATCATGCTAGATGCTGCGTTATCCAGGATACACAGAGGGAACCGGTGTATAAAGTATAGGGAACCGGTGTATGAAGTATAAGGAACCGGTGTATGAAGTATAAGGAACCGGTGTGTGAAGTATAAGGAACCGGTGTATGAAGTATAGGCAAGATACCCCCCTCGTCTTTAGAAAGTGTCACAGCCTTAAGATGCTCGGGAATGGTGGTCTGTCTTGCTCTAATTGTCTATTACACGACTAACTACCATCATTAAGGTGGGTTTAAAGACACGCTTGGCATTTGCTCTCCGGCCTCAACCATCCGCTTTTCACTCTCAACAACCAGTCAACCATCATCCATCTACCCTCCACAACCACCTACCCTCCACAACCAGTCAACCATCATCCATCTACCCACCACAACCAGTCAACCAACCAACCAACCACCACCTACCCTCCACAACCAGTCAATATGATACTGAGTTTACCATTATCTTAGTCCCCTTGAGACCTAGTTCCCTTAATTATCAGGGTAATCATCAGTTAAGGGGCAACTATTCGTTGCCCCCTTAACGACCCTATTAAGGTTAATAAACATAAGAGTTTCCAGCACTACTTCCGTTATTCAATATAGTACATCGAAGTGGTTTTAGGATTAGCGTTAGCTTAGGATTCGATGATTGATTAAGATTAAGCCACCCAAGAGGTGGCACGGGCATGAATAGCCCGTAAGGCCAGGATCTTTTTACCACCTGTTGCTTACACCTGTCCCGGTGGGATAGGCACCTGTGCACCTGTCCCAGTGGGATAGTCACATGTACGAGTCCGCACGTCTCACCCCCGGTTCCTTGTCCTGTAATTCAGGGTGGTGACGGAGTTAATTGGTCATTCATAAGTACCGTTACAGCTAATGTCTCTCTCTCTCTCTCTCTCTCTCTCTCTCTCTCTCTCTCTCTCTCTCTCTTTCTCTTTCTCTTTCTCTCTCTCTCTCTCTCTCTCTCTCTCTCTCTCTCTCTCTCTCTCTTCCAAGGGGACACAGGTGGAGACTGAGTACCCAAATGAGCCACAGGGACGTTAGAAAGAACTTTTTCAGTGTCAGAGTAGTTAACAGGTGGAATGCATTAGGCAGTGATGTGGTGGAGGCTGACTCCATACACAGTTTCAAGTGTAGATATGATAGAGCCCAGTAGGCTTAGGAACCTGTACACCAGTTGATTGACAGTTGAGAGGCGGGACCAAAGAGCCAGAGCTCAACCCTCCGCAAGCACAATTAGGTGAGGGGAGGGAATTATCAGGGCAATGCACCAAGCCATTACGACTATATAGCACTGGGAAGGGGTCAGGATAAGGATTTGGGATGAGACGGGGGGGAAGGAATGGTGCTCAACCACTTGAACGGTCGGGGATTGAACGCGGACCTGCATGAAGCCAGACCGTCGCTCTACCGTCCAGCCCATTAGGTGAGTACACTGCCATCGGGTGTGGTGGCGAGGCGTGGGAAAGGGGGCTGCTCTATTGAAGGACTCTGGAACACACAGGGTAGGAGAGCACGCGGCTCTAGCCATTAGAGCGAGCGGCAGCATGGCAGTGAGTGGAGACACTCAAGGCTCAGATGCGGGCCAGGACACACACGAGTCTCCCAACAGCAGCTCCCACCTTCCACTAGTCTCTTCTGAACATAATAATTAGCCGTACTTTCTCCAACTGTTGTGGCTTACGACTTGTATTTTGATATATTTTTCAACGGGGTTATTTTGCACATCCTGCCATGCCTCCTGGTCTCGTGCGATGTTATTTATGTGTGCAGAGTTGGAGCCAGTACCTCTAATATTTCTCCAAGAATACAGATCAAAAATATTAAGTGATCTTGAGGTTATCTTGAGATGATTTCGGGGCTTTAGTGTCCCCGCGGCCCGGTCCTCGACCAGGCCTCCACCCCCAGGTAGCAGGCCGTGACAGCTGACTAACAACCAGGTACCTATTTACTGCTAGGTAACAGGGGCATAGGGTGAAAGAAACTCTGCCCATTGTTTCTCGCCGGCGCCCGAGATCGAACCCGGGACCACAGGATCACAGTCCAGCGTGCGGTCCGCTCGGCGGACCGGTGATCCCAATAATTTAGATATGTTATTGAGTGGATACTGGCAGTGTACGATCCTTGTACATTCTCCAAGCCAGAAATGTTTCCAGCTTTGAATGGGGCTGTTAGTGCGCAACAGTATTGCACCTGCAGGATAATTATTAATGTAGCTTGTCTGAGCACCACAGACTCCAGTATGACCTGTGGACACTGAAATCACAATTACCTTACAAGAGTTGTTACATTCTTGTACAGCCACTAGCACGCATAGGGTCGGGCAGCTGTCTAACTCCCAGGTACCTATTTACTGCTAGATGAACAGGGCATCTAGGTGAAAGAAACTCTGCCCATTTGTTGACCAGACCACACACTAGAAGGTGAAGGGACGACGACGTTTCGATCCGTCTCTGCCCATTTGTTTCCGCCTCCGCCGGGTATCGAACCCGGATCTTAAGGACTACAATCCCCGAGCGCTGTCCACTGAGCCATCAGGCCCCCAGTACACACCTGAAGGAAGGTAACTATACACAACCTGCCATCTCAAATCCCCAACGGACGAAATAAAGCGTAGTATGAATCATGGCAGCTCTCAGCCACTTTTATATTCGCGAGTAGGGTAAGGTTAGGGTCAGTTCGCGCGTTTTAGTATACAATAGGTTCGAACCCTGGAACCTACGGCGTTGTAAACCTTAGGGTTCGACGCAGGTTCGAACCCTCATCATGGCCCTTGTGGATTTGTTCACTTGATGCATCACGCTATTGTGAGTTCTGTGTGTAATATAGTTCACAGTTTTTTGTTCCCTGTGGAAGCTCAAGAGGACGGGCTACACCACACACAGGACTACAACACACACACAGGGCTACACCACACACACAGGGCTACAACACACACAGAACTACAACCATGGGGGGCGGACCTACCTGAAGGTGGTAGTGTAATAGTGACAGGGTGAGGAATAATTTGGTCGACGGCGCACATCCTCCGGTCCTCGAGTCTCACTTTACTTCAGTTGCCCCTCGACTCTCGTCTCTTCAGCCTAACTCCGTTTTCTTTTCAACTTTCTCTCATGCGTTCCTTTTCAGTTGATAATTCATTTTCTTTACACTGGGCTAACTCATTTGAATATATTTAATCACACTTATAATAACAGGTATTTCTTACGCCTTGATGATGGTTACATCTTGTGTTGGGAGCTTAGACAAGGCGCAGGCTTCCTGTCCCTGTGGAGGCCACGAGACATGGCGGATCTCGGGTAAACTAATGTAAATATTAGCGACTGGAGGTCGTGCCAATCCACATATCCCAATGGGTGATATTTCCCCACATATATGTAACATACTAACACCTGACTGCACATGTGTCCCCCTAGCAGGGCCTGAGTCACACACGTGGTCTTACGGGTGCTGTGAGATCACACATGTGTGAGGGAGGAGGTGGGGGTGTGGTGTGTACCACACTCAGGTGGGCCACCATGGCTCACCACCTTCAAGGGGGGCATGGGCGCCTTCTACACACCTCCGCTACACTGCTCCACACGCCTGAAAAGAAAATTAAAATTAAGATCATGGTTTTCACCAATATTATATATATATATATATATATATATATATATATATATATATATATATATATATATATATATATATATATATATATATATATATATATATATATATATATAGGTCTAGTTTGAATGGTCCCCAAGTCAACTTGCACCAGAAAACTCTTGACCCCTGAAGGATTCTGATGCATTTTGGCATCAGAACTGATGGTTTCACTGCTATCTTAACTACGCTGGACTTAAGGGAAGCAGTTGTTCCATCAGCCGAGACGGAAACAACCTCACCATCTACGTCAACATTGCGAATGATGCTATTTCGCGCCAAGGGTCCTCGTGGGCCTTGTGGCTCTTGTCAATGACAGCAGACCAGCTAACGTAAGACAAGCTGGGACTGCAGCAGGCATTCTGTCTGCCTTCCTACCAGAAAATAGGTGTGCCAAGCTCACGCGAGAGAGAGAGAGAGAGAGAGAGAGAGAGAGAGAGAGAGAGAGAGAGAGAGAGAGAGAGAGAGAGAGAGAGAGAGAGAGAGAGAGAGAGAGAGAGAGAGAGAGAGAGAGAGAGAAGAGGGAGGGTACACGACCGACTCCTAATCCCCAGAAGGCCAGCTCACCAACTGATCCATTACATTACATAATAACCTGGCACTTCTAATGATAAAAGCACAAGACCGTCTCCCTGGTTGCTGATCCCATCTCGTCAAATATCCTTCATTCAAACGAGACAGGGGAACGCCAGGCCTTGAATTTGATCATCGCCTGCACCTTGCATGCATGAATCCACTTATCCCAATCATGACATTGGGTGTAAAATGCCACCTTTTATCAGGGTCTAAGAGTTAAGAGTTTGGGTCATACAGATACATAGTAATACAAACACACACACATACACAGTTGTTGATACATAGATTTAAGTGTAAACATGATACGAAACTGAGTGGAAAGAGCGGCTACACTGAACTACTGATGCTCGACTCTGCAGGCATGAAAACATGAGTGTATAACGTGAAATATTATATATATATATTTTATATATATATATATATATATATATATATATATATATATATATATATATATATATATATATATATATATATATATATATATATATATATATATATATATATATATATATATATATATGTCGTACCTAGTAGCCAGAACGCACTTCTCAGCCTACTATGCAAGGCCCGATTTGCCTAATAAGCCAAGTTTTCCTGAATTAATATATTTTCTCAAATTTTTTTCTTATGAAATGATAAAGCTGCCCATTTCATTATGTATGAGGTCAATTTTTTTTAATTGGAGTTAAAATTAACGTAGATATATGACCGAACCTAACCAACCCTACCTAACCTAACCTAACCTATCTTTATAGGTTAGGTTAGGTTAGGTAGCCGAAAAAGTCAGGTTAGGCTAGGTTAGGTAGGTTAGGTTGTCGAAAAAATATTATTTCATGAAAACTTGGCTTATTAGGCAAATCGGGCCTTGCATAGTAGTCTGATAAGTGCGTTCTGGCTACTAGGTACGACATATATATATATATATATATATATATATATATATATATATATATGGAGGCAGACAATGTCTGCCTCCATAGTTGCCAATCTTTGCAAAAATTTAGATTCTTTCTCCATAACTTCTCATCTAAGGAGTTTAACGATACCATAATTCTATTGCAGACTTTATTTTATAACTCCCATAAACAAAAATTTAAGTTGTCATTCTTAAATCCATCATCTTGAGTGTGCAGGCGAGTGTCTGGGGAGCCTCGAACCAGGACCCAGGCCGCCCCCAGGCCGCCCCCAGGGGCAACATCACATAAATCTTTAAACTTCGTCATAACCCGCCTATCCCAGTCTTAGTCTCTCTCTCTCTCTCTCTCTCTCTCTCTCTCTCTCTCTCTCTCTCTCTCTCTCTCTCTCTCTCTCTCCGCATCAACTCGGGAAAGATGGAATATCAATCCTTAATTGTTAGCCTCTGTTTATCCAGCAATAATTGGGTATCTGGATGTAAACTGATTGACGGGTCGCGTTCCAGGGAAAACTAGTAAAGTAAGGCTTACCATAAAGTCTGGGCAAGGAAAGCTACAAGACTCCTACCAGGAGTCAGAAGTCTTAAACAGTAGACATGCACTCATCTGAGTGCAACAGAGAGAGAGAGAGAGAGAGAGAGAGAGAGAGAGAGAGAGAGAGAGAGAGAGAGAGAGAGAGAGAGAGAGAGAGAGAGAGAGAGAGAGAGAGAGAGAGAGAGAGAGAGAGAGAGCGTCTTAATCAGTAAGAACATTCACCTTCTCCATCTTGAGATATCTTAAGATGATTTCGGGGCTTAGCGTCCCCGCGGCCCGGTCCTCGACCAGGCCTCCTTTTTGTTACATCCCCCACACCCAGGAAAGCAGCCCGTGGCAGCTGTCTAACTCCCAGGTACCCAGGACCCGCTGCCCAATACTGTCACTATGGCGGTGTGTCCACTCACAGGATGAGTGGCGCTGCCCAATACTGTCACTATGGCGGTGTGTCCACTCACACGATGAGTGGCGCTGCCCAATACTGTCACTATGGCGGTGTGTCCACTCACAGGATGAGTGGCGCTGCCCAATACTGTCACTATGGCGGTGTGTCCACTCACAGGATGAGTGGCGCTGCCCAATACTGTCACTATGGCGGTGTGTCCACTCACAGGATGAGTGACGCTGCCCAATACTGTCACTATGGCGGTGTGTCCACTCACAGGATGAGTGGCGCTGCCCAATACTGTCACTATGGCGGTGTGTCCACTCACAGGATGAGTGGCGCTGCGCAATACTGTCACTATAGCGGTGTGTCCACTCACAGGATGAGTGGCGCTGCCCAATACTGTCACTATGGCGGTGTGTCCACTCACAGGATGAGTGGCGCTGCCCAATACTGTCACTATGGCGGTGTGTCCACTCACAAGATGAGTGGCGCTGCCCAATACTGTCACTATGGCGGTGTGTCCACTCACAAGATGAGTGGCGCTGCCCAATACTGTCACTATGGCGGTGTGTCCACTCACAGGATGAGTGGCGCTGCCCAATACTGTCACTATGGCGGTGTGTCCACTCACAGGATGAGTGGCGCTGCCCAATACTGTCACTATGGCGGTGTGTCCACTCACAAGATAAGTGGCGCTGCCCAATAAACTCGCCCCTCGGGGCAAAATTAAAATAAACTAAGATTGGTGATAAAGGAAATGCAAGTTCTCACAGAGAAGAATGTCAAATTCTAAAATCATCTACAGAGAAGAGGGCAAATCGCCAGGAAAAATTTTAGGATCAAGACAAGGACAGATTTTGGTAAATGTGAAGCGTGTGAATGTGAGGACGGCGCTGGCGGCGAGGACGAAGTCACGGCCGGGAGTAAGACCAAAGGGATCGAACGATTACCATCAATGTTGACAAAATGCGAGACATTGTTTATTTTCCTTGTCGCAGACTGAGGGGAGGCCGACGGCCCGCGCGTGTTACAAGGGACAGATGTTCGGGGGTAGAAATAGCCTAAGCAACTCTATCCCTTTGAAGTGTATTTTTCTTGTCTCAAACATGAACTTGAACTTGGTACAGATGACTGGAATATTCCTGTACTTGCCAGGCCCAGGTTCACGAAGCAGTTACGCAAGCACTTACGAACCTGGGGGCCAATTTCTCGAAGCAGTTACGCAAGTACTTACGAACGTGTACATCTTTCCTCAACTTTTGACGGCTTTGGTTACATTTATTAAACAGTTTACAAACATGAAAACTTGTCAATCAACTGTTGTTATTGTTATAAACAGCCTCCTGGTGCTTCGGAGCTCTTTAACTGTTTAATAATTGTAAACAAAGCCGCCAAAGATTGAGAAAAGATGGACAGGATGTAAGTGCTTGCGTAACTGCTTCGTGAATCTGGCCCCTGGTTCCTTGAGGGCTCTTCAAGACGACCCCTCCAGTCCTTCCCCAGACGACTGTGGGACACCTTGGGGGAGTCTCTCCCCTCACCCCCACCATGGGGGGCATAAACCCCCCAACATTTATCCGGCAACATCCGACTACAGTCCGAATAAGGACGAGTAACCGAATCCAACTTTATTTGACGCGGAAGAAGTGGAAATGTTGACCCAGGATTTGTGTCTGTGTGTTTGGCGTCTCTGGGGGTACAGGACCAGCAGGACCCGTCTCTGGGGGTACAGGACCAGCAGGACCCGTCTCTGGGGGTACAGGACCAGCAGGACCCGTCTCTGGGGGTACAGGACCAGCAGGACCCGTCTCTGGGGGTACAGGACCAGCAGGACCCGTCTCTGGGGGTACAGGACCAGCAGGACCCGTCTCTGGGGGTACAAGACCAACAGGACCCGTCTCTGGGGGTACAGGACCAGCAGGACCCGTCTCTGGGGGTACAGGACCAGCAGGACCCGTCTCTGGGGGTACAAGACCAGCAGGACCCGTCTCTGGGGGTACAGGACCAGCAGGACCCGTCTCTGGGGGTACAGGACCAGCAGGACCCGTCTCTGGGGGTACAAGACCAACAGGACCCGTCTCTGGGGGTACACAAGACCAACAGGACCCGTCTCTGGGGGTACAAGACCAACAGGACCCGTCTCTGGGGGTACACAAGACCAACAAGACCCGTCTCTGGGGGTACAAGACCAACAGGACCCGTCTCTGGGGGTACAAGACCAACAGGACCCGTCTCTGGGGGTACACAAGACCAACAAGACCCGTCTCTGGGGGTACAAGACCAACAGGACCCGTCTCTGGGGTGTACACAAGACCAACAGGACCCGTCTCTGGGGGTACAAGACCAACAGGACCCGTCTCTGGGGGTACAAGACCAACAGGACCCGTCTCTGGGGGTACACAAGACCAACAGGACCCGTCTCTGGGGGTACACAAGACCAACAGGACCCGTCTCTGGGGGTACACAAGACCAACAGGACCCGTCTCTGGGGGTACACAAGACCAACAGGACCCGTCTCTGTGGGTACACAAGACCTACAGGACCCGTCTCTGGGGGTACAAGACCAACAGGACCCGTCTCTGGGGGTACACAAGACCAACAAGACCCGTCTCTGGGGGTACAAGACCAACAGGACCCGTCTCTGGGGGTACACAAGACCTACAGGACCCGTCTCTGGGGGTACAAGACCAACAGGACCCGTCTCTGGGGGTACACAAGACCAACAGGACCCGTCTCTGGGGGTACAAGACCAACAGGACCCGTCTCTGGGGGTACACAAGACCAACAAGACCCGTCTCTGGGGGTACAAGACCAACAGGACCCGTCTCTGGGGTGTACAAGAGTGACAGTACCACACACAGGCAGCAAGCCAACAGACGGACCAGTTAACACACCGACCAGACGTAATAATCTCTCATAAACAGCCAACGCTCTCCAAGTTCCTATATTGTTCCAGTCATATTCCTTTCACCAAGGATGAACGGTGTGATAGGGCGCCTTCCAGACACCTGACTCCACACCCGGCCCGGCGTCAGGTGTGTGGTGTGATAGGGCGCCTTCCAGACACCTGACTCCACACCCGGCCCGGCGTCAGGTGTGAGCGATCACCAGGTGTTAGGCAGAGATAAGGACCCAATGGTAAACACTATATTCCAAGCCTCTCTCCTAAGCACACACAAACTGGATAACATCAGCGGCGTATACACACGCTTGCCAAACGTGCGGATTACCTTCGGGAGCGCGACTAGTTCACTCAGGGTTTGAACGAACGTAAGACCAACCCTCAATTATGCAACAGCAGTCCTCGTCAAGTTAAATTCCTGTAGAAGCTGAGAGCACATGTTTATTAGGAAAAGGAATCCTATATTGAATTAAGAGGGAATTCAAGTCCTCAGGATATGCTCGTTTAAGCTAAGGCTGACTTGAAAGAACATTGGTCTTTGCTGATGAAGACAGTAATATATATATATATATATATATATATATATATATATATATATATATATATATATATATATATATATATATATATATATATATATATATATATATGGCAAACCTTTTCCTCTCTGGATCGCGACACTGAGGCGCTGAAAGAGGAAACTTGCTGCTCTTGAGTCTCCAGTTTGCCTAATCAGTTCCTCATCCACCTCCTTAAAGAACTTAAGTGCACATGTACCCCAGACGCCCCCCCCCCTTCCCCCCAGGGTCTCGGAGCCTGTTGACACGAACCTGTAACAATGTTCTAGGTCCGTGCACTTATTAGTTTCCTCCCTGAAGGAGACACAAGTAACCTGTACCATACTCGGTAACCCATTGATTAGGTCAGGTAATTGTTATGTGTTTTTTGTCATTAGTTATTAATTATACAGGCTTTGTTTAAATTATCTCGGGTTCAGCTGCTCTTGTCAATGGGAGTTTTAATTAATTTAAAGGTATAAGATAGAGCGGCAAGTAGTTGTGCGGGCGTGTAACGTCACCCAGAGCGAGGTGTTGACTCTGACCGTCAGATGGCGGGGCGGGGCGTCGCGGCAACCTTACAAGAGCTATTTCCACCCGTCTCTTCCAGGAGAGGTATGGGGTGGAGGAGCCCCAACGGCCCCTCTGGCGCCCCTCCAAGTAAACATTCACTACCACAAGGCCTCGCTCGTAAAACTGTGTCGCTCGCTTTAGTGCTCCCACCTCTCAAATGTTGTCTTGACCGTCTGACTTCATATATCCCCGTGGCGCAGTGGTAAGACATTTGATCGCCTTGTGCTTCGCGAGCGATTTGGCCTGGGTTCACATCCTGGCCGGGGAGGATTGACTAGGCGCCAATCCTTAACTGTACGCCTCTGTTCATCCAGCAGTGAATGGTACCTGGTTGTTAAATGATTTGGCGGGTTGAATTCCAGGGAAAATATAGATCGAGGTATGACACAAATGCTGATGGGGTTACAAAGTAGAGGAAATAAAAGAAAGTGTTCGTGAAAATGAACCTGATTTAATTGCAATATTGGAAACGAAACTAAATAATATGATCTGATACAAAATTTTCAGGGGGGGGGGGAGGATACCAAGTAATAAGAAAAAAAAGAAGACAAGGAGGGGGAGAAATGCAGTCTTAGTAAAATAAAAGCAGATATGCAAAAGCAGATTCATACACAATGATGGCAGATATAAAAACATTGATTAGAAATCAAAATCGGGACGCAATCTACACAACATATGTCAGACCAATACTGGAATATGCAACAAGATTGGTACCAGAGCTAAGTGTGTTAAGCTAATGCCTAATGGAACTAAACCTTGGAAGCCCAGAATTGTGGAAGCCTCCTTATACACAACTTTATGGCTAAAATCGACAAAGAATTTCCACGTCAAAATTGTTTAAGTTGTAAAGCAACTCTACACCTCCAACCACTTGGGCTGGATGATAGAGCGACGGTCTCGCTTCGTTCAGGTCGGCGTTCAATCCCCGACCGTCCACAAGTGGTTGGGCACCATTCCTTCCCCCCGTCCCATCCCAAATCCTTATCCTGACCCCCTTCCCAGTGCTATATAGTCGTAATGACTTGGCGCTTTCCCCCCTGATGATTCTCTCTCTCCCTCTCTCAACCCCCCCCCCCTGTAGTCACTGGTCAGATAAGTACCACCACCACCACCATTAACCACAACCAGTATGCCCTGGTGGCTGGACCAGTATGCCCTGGTGGCTGGGCCAGTATGCCCTGGTGGCTGGACCAGTATGCCCTGGTGGCTGGACCAGTATGTCCTGGTGGCTGGACCAGTATGCCCTGGTGGCTGGACCAGTATGCCCTGGTGGCTGGACCAGTATGCCCTGGTGGCTGGACCAGTATGCCCTGGTGGCTGGACCAGTATGCCCTAGTGGCTGGACCAGTATGCCCTGGTGGATGGACCAGTATGCCCTGGTGGCTGGACCAGTATGCCCTGGTGGATGGACCAGTATGCCCTGGTGGATGCCCTGGTGGCTGGACCAGTATGCCCTGGTGGATGGACCAGTATGCCCTGGTGGCTGGACCAGTATGCCCTGGTGGCTGGACCAGTATGCTCTGGTGGCTGGACCAGTATGCCCTGGTGGCTGGACCAGTATGCCCTGGTGGCTGGACCAGTATCCCCTGGTGGCTGGACCAGTATGCCCTGGTGGCTGGACCAGTATGCCCTGGTGGTTGGCCCAGTATGCCCCTCATCAAGTCACAGTAAACAAAAGTGTTCCGAGGGCATAAAACAGAGTGTGTGAAGTTGTGAGGTTGTGAGCGGGTCAAGTTGCCGCAAGAGGAAGAAAGCAGTGGAGAAAGTTACCAAGTTAGCATTAGAAATATCCTCAGCAAGTTATGAAAGAGGAACTTGAGGCAAAACAAAACAAAAAAGTTCAAAAGTTAGACTACTGAACACCTCCGGCAAGTTCCGAGGGAAGAAGTTGAGTCAAGTGAGATGCATGACTTAGTTACAGCGAATACAATTGTATTAAACCCTGTATACAACATGCTGTAATACACTTTCACTGTATTGATGGTGTAGATACAGGCATCTACACCATAAGGAGAAGGCAACTACAGGAATCAGAACAATTTGGGAGTGGATAGAGTGTCATCACTAACACCAGAGGCACACACAAACAGGATAACATCAGCGGCATATGTGACGCTGGCAAGCACAAGAACATCGTTTAGCACTCTAAATCAGGACTCCTTCGAGGCAATTTACACAAGGCCAGATTAAACTCATTCATATGGGTTCGATTCCCTCTATTGACGTCACAGCTTAAGCTTTTGTGCCTCACATTGGAACTCATGTAAATGTCCCCCCCCCTCCCCCCCTCCTCCGTCTCGTCCCACAGTGGGCAATGCAGTTGAGAGACAACCGAACGATTCCTGGTGCTCTTTCCTCGCAGGACGAGACGTTTGGGCAACATTTCCTTTCAACTAATCCATCTATTCACCTCGCAGTAAATAGGTATAACTTAGAGTTAGGCAACTGTTGTGGGTTGCATCCTGGAGAAGGTCAATAGCTGGGCTAGGTCATATGAAGGACCTCAATGAGCCTAATAGGAGTCCTCTCCTTGACAATGGGGAACATTTATAATTCTCAATCCAGACAGACAGAGGGACTATAAAAGAATATAACATTGTGCGGGACTCTAATGAAGGATGGCGGGGCCCATGAGCTAGAGTCTGGAAAAATGGAGAGCGTACTAGAGCGGACCAAACAGACAGGGGATATGGTCGAGAGTGTTCAACAGACCGACATGTTAAGCAACACAGGCTCTCCTGTGCAGGCGAGGAGTCACAATAACGTAGCTGAAGTATATTGACCAGACCACACACTAGAAGGTGAAGGGACGACGACCGAAACGTCGTCGTCCCTTCAACTTCTAGTGTGTGGTCTGGTCAACAGGCTCTCCTGGTAACAGCAACTTCCTGTTGCAATTCCTGTTGGGGGCTGGCTCTCCAGCCCCCAACACTGACTGCTTGATAAGGTAAGACGAGGAGAAGGAGGAGGAGGCCTAGTCGAGGACCGGGCCGCGGGCACATTGAGCCCCGAAATCATCGCAAAGTATGGTAAACCAATCAAAACCCCGCTGCTAGAGTTCACACACCTCAGTCCGACTATCTAACAAGGGTCTAACCGGAGGGAACAAGGCTCTGTAACCAAAGAGCGTCAGACAACTAATTATTCGAGAAAGAAAGAAAAAACTTAGTCTATCTCCTATCCTCTGGCCAAATTTGAGTCTACACGCGCCATAGTCAACACTGTGTCACCGGAGACCTCCCCCCCCCCCCCCATGGACAAAACACCCACATAAACTGTCCATAAATATTACACACATGACACTATAATCAATTAACTGAACCCGTGGAAATAAAGGCAGATTAGATTGAGGCACAAACAGTTCAGCTCCCTTCGACTACAAACCCAGAAAAAACAAAAAATAACAATTTCGGTCTCAAACAATAAACAATTTCGGTCTAAAAAATAAATAATTTCGGTCTCAAACAATAAACAATTTCGGACTAAAAAATAAATAATTTCGGTCTCAAACAATAAACAATTTCGGTCTCAAACAATAAACAATTTCGGTCACAAAAAAATAAACAATTTCGGTCTCAAAAAAAAAATAAACAATTTCGGTCTCAAAAAAATAAACAATTTCGATCTCAAAAAAAAAATTGATCTCAAACAATAAACAATTATGGTCTGACAGAGATAAGACAGAGGAGCGTGAGGCCCTTATAACCTGTCAGTCAACCAATCAGGTGAAAGGTGAGACCGTGAGAGGGATTAGATAACACACCTTCCTAATGACCGGTCGGTCTGAGGTGACTGACCAGGTCTCAGGTGTGAGGGGGGGGGGGGCTGGTCTCCCCCCTTACCAGTGCCCCAGCTGGTAAGGGGGCACTCCTGTTGCCCCTAATGACAGTCCTTGGCACCGTGGACATCCATTCACAACTCCAGTACTCCCAGTTCGATTCTCAAACACCTGTTGGGTATTAAGAACCACATCACTTGTGTGAATACGAGGTTCTTGCCACATGTGTTGGGAAATTTATCGTCTGAGAGGTTGCAACAGGACGTTGTTGTCGTCTGCAAGAGGTTGCAACAGGACGTTGTTGACGTCTGTAAGAGGTTGCAACAGGACGTTGTTGTCGTCTGTAAGAGGTTGCAACAGGACGTTGTTGACGTCTCAAGAGGTTGCAACAGGACGTTGTTGTCGTCTGCAAGAGGTTGCAACAGGACGTTGTTGTCGTCTGTAAGAGGTTGCAACAGGACGTTGTTGTCGTCTGTAAGAGGTTGCAACAGGACGTTGTTGTCGTCTGTAAGAGGTTGCAACAGGACGTTGTTGTCGTCTGTAAGAGGTTGCAACAGGACGTTGTTGACGTCTCAAGAGGTTGCAACAGGACGTTGTTGTCGTCTGTAAGAGGTTGCAACAGGACGTTGTTGACGTCTCAAGAGGTTGCAACAGGACGTTGTTGTCGTCTCAAGAGGTTGCAACAGGACGTTGTTGTCGTCTGTAAGAGGTTGCAACAGGACGTTGTTGTCGTCTCAAGAGGTTGCAACAGGACGTTGTTGTCGTCTGTAAGAGGTTGCAACAGGACGTTGTTGACGTCTCAAGAGGTTGCAACAGGACGTTGTTGTCGTCTGTAAGAGGTTGCAACAGGACGTTGTTGACGTCTCAAGAGGTTGCAACAGGACGTTGTTGTCGTCTGTAAGAGGTTGCAACAGGACGTTGTTGACGTCTCAAGAGGTTGCAACAGGACGTTGTTGTCGTCTCAAGAGGTTGCAACAGGACGTTGTTGTCGTCTGTAAGAGGTTGCAACAGGACGTTGTTGTCGTCTGTAAGAGGTTGCAACAGGACGTTGTTGACGTCTCAAGAGGTTGCAACAGGACGTTGTTGTCGTCTCAAGAGGTTGCAACAGGACGTTGTTGTCGTCTGTAAGAGGTTGCAACAGGACGTTGTTGTCGTCTGTAAGAGGTTGCAACAGGACGTTGTTGACGTCTCAAGAGGTTGCAACAGGACGTTGTTGTCGTCTCAAGAGGTTGCAACAGGACGTTGTTGTCGTCTCAAGAGGTTGCAACAGGACGTTGTTGTCGTCTGTAAGAGGTTGCAACAGGACGTTGTTGACGTCTCAAGAGGTTGCAACAGGACGTTGTTGTCGTCTCAAGAGGTTGCAACAGGACGTTGTTGTCGTCTCAAGAGGTTGCAACAGGACGTTGTTGTCGTCTCAAGAGGTTGCAACAGGA